TTTAACACTCATGAGTATAAAAGAGGCAGTCTAAATCATATGATTGTGTAAGGAAAAGAGGTGAGTCACTCCAGGAGAATGAACAGAATAAGAAGTAAATAACATTAAGCCAGAATCCAGGAACTATCAGCACTTAAATGGTGAGAAGAAGAAAAGTCAGCAAATGAAAAGAAATGATTACCAGTTCTATAAACCCACCTGCAATGGCGGTCAAAGTTCCTGTTTTCCTTCTTGCTACAACTAAAGAAATGTCCCCATAGAATCTTCTGCCCTCTCAAGCAAATTTACAAATAACTCCAAAATCTGTATCACTCATTCCGCCTTTCTTCTAAACTCTTTAATAAGATCCTCTAAACTCTGGCTCAAATCTCTTTTGTCCAGACTTTTCTACTGGAACTCTCTTATACAGCCTCTGAGCTTTAGCCTGTCAAAATGGCTTTCTTGCAATTTTGCATTTACTATTCCACATCTCTGCCTTTATTCATGCTGTTCCCTCATCCTAGTATTCCCTCATCCCTCACACCCAGCCATCATTTATTATCATGACCCCTGGCTTATGAGAAGCTAAAAATAGCCCAAACTGGAGTCGCTAACATCAAAGGGAAAAGGAGGAGAAATATCACTATTTATCCAGGTTCTACTAATGTTCTAGAATTATGCTTGGCCATGGGTGTGTCTGTGTTTGTGAATACATCTCATTTAATCTTGCAGCAGCCTTAGAAGATCATTTTTATAGAGGAAGATACTAAAGCTTGTTCATTTACATAATAAATGTTTATCAAATGCCTATTATTTACCAGTCACTGTGCTAGGTGCTAAACGACAGTAAACCAGAGTCCCCAGTTTGCACCTACAAAGAGCTATTAACAGCGAGAGACAAATATTAAAAATATAATTATGTAAATAAATGTATAATGGCAGGTTGAAGTAGCAGCCATGATGTGAAGTGATGGGAAGCTAATTCAGGGAAGGAAGCCTCTGTTGTTAGGCAGGGATATTCATGGGAGATCTCAAGAAGTAGCCAGGTGAATAATGTGTTAGGCCATGGAAGGAGCCTGTATGAAGTATGAAAACAAAATGAAAGGCCAATGATGTTAGAGAGGAGTGAGCAAACAGAAAAGAGGGGCTCTGTGAAGCTGAAAAAGGAGGCAGACAAGATTTTGCATGTCTTTGTAGGCCATGTTCAAGAGCATACATTTTACTCATTAAATAATTAGAAGACATTGAAGGATATTATGCAGCAGAGATACATAAAATATTTTTAAAAATTAGAAAAAAAATTAAATAAAATTACCCACTTCATATAATGTAGAACAAAAGACTAAACATTGGGTCTGATCCTTAACTTTGCACAAAGTTTGTCATCTTGTCTCAATCCAGAACTATTAGTATAATCTAAAAGACACAGGCCACCCCTGGCAGGCTTGGGTGGTCTCAACTCAGATTCTGGTGCTCCTTCTTCAAATTCAAAAATTTACTTGAAAATCTCTTGAAGGATATAAACTTCTTTGCAGTATGAAATTCTGGAATACTAGGCTGTCTTTCAAGTATGGGAGGCCTTGTACATCAGCCTTTAGCAAAATTAAACTTGTCTGCCTTTCAACTCAATATCACCCCATAGAATAACTGTGGTTCAACAAGATGTTTGGGATGGAGCTGGTGCTACAATCAGGCCGCTTGCTATTGTAACTTACAAGAAATACATTAGCAAACAAAGACGGTAGAAGGTGGGGAGCCTGATTATCTAGATTTCAATTCTGGCTCCACTCCTTATTAGCTGTATAACTCTGAGCTAGGCATTCTAAGCCTATTTCCTCATCTGCAAGATGGGGATGATAGGAAGAATAATATTTAACTGATAGGGTTGTGCAAGGATGAAATGAGCTAACACATTTAAAACTCATAGGGTTGTGTAAGGATGAAATGAGCTAATATACATAAAGCACTTGCAACAGTAACTAACACAGAATAAATGCTGTGTAGGTGATATCGGTTATTGTTAATAGTTATGAAGGCATTTATAATTTGGGGAGTTTCTTAGAAAAAAAATGCATATATCCATCTGTAACCACTGTTTATAAATAGTCTGAGCTTTTGGGCAAAGAGAGACCAACAGACATGCTCTTTCACATGCCTACTGAAATAATCAATGCTCATGCTTGCCAAATGTTTTATTATCATTTCTGTGCTTCTATCCCCACATGAGAGGTAGGAAAACCCAGGCAAGTGGTATTTCCTGGTATTCTGGTATCCAAAATCTGGTATTCTGGTGGAAGGTACATCCTCCTCAAAGTGCTACCTCTGAAAACATAGTGGCTGGCAGGATCTCAAAGCCACTTACATCCTTCTAGGACTATTTCTAGGGTTTATCCAATCACAGCCATGAATAAGGAAGAGAAACAAGCCCTGGAGACAAAGTCAGATTGAATACTTCCTTACAGTGATGGCTTCACAGAGAATAAGATTCTAGACACTTTAGCTGAATATTATTACAATTAACTTCCATCTGAATCCTGCAAGAGTGCCTGCTGTATTGATAAAGGATGTCTCTGATTCTACTTCTATATTGAAGAAATGAAAGCCTCCAAATCCATGAGTTATTTAAATGGAATGAGCTCCTCTGGTTTATTGCTGCCATGTTTTGCCACATGTTGAGGTCCAGCCCAGGGGTCCAAGTTGACCTAAGCAGAGGAGACCTTGAAGATGTTTACAAAATTAGGAGAAAATGTATAGAATAGGAGAAAAGTGGATAAAATCAAGCTAATCTCAGCTGGAGGAGGTGTGACCAGGAAGGCAGGGCAAAATATTATGAGGAGCTAAACAGAAACACACAATTGATTACAGTTGAAAAATGACTTAAAGAGCAACAGAGAGGGAAAGATGCTGAGAAGGAAGAGTCAATTCCCTTTCCCACCTGCCCCCCATTGTCTATGTGAGGCAAGGGGGAGATTAGAGACTAACGAATATGAAGTCAAAGTATGACATTCAGCTGGCACCTTGGAAATCTGACCTACAGCTCTCCAACTCCAACTTCCCATTTAGAAGGTGGGCACGGAAGACAGAGTTGCAGCTATCTTGAGACTGTATAGATACATAAATTCTAGTTGGTGTTATGTAAGTAGTCTATTGATAGGTACATATTTTTACATATTTAAAATATTTTCTAATTAAACGAACACTGTTTTGCTGGGACTGAAACACTATTACATAAAATGCACTCATCAGTTACATTTCACAATTCCAAGAATAGCAACGTAGGGGGAAAAAAGTCTGATATACAAACAAAAAGCTCCGTGTTTGTGGAATGCCTCAAACAGCATAACAATGACCAGAGACATACCTAGGATTTGTATGTTTTCTTAAAATTTGTTTTTATAAATTGGCATTTGGGTTTTGTTAAAGACGCATGTGTTTGGCTCATTTTCCCCTGTTGTCTTTATGTTAGGCAACTTCCTTCAAACATTTCAAAGGGATGAATGTGTTTCCTTCACGGTTTATTTGAAAATCTGATACAAGTTATGGAAAAAACAACTGAGCTAAAAAAAATCATAGGAATATGCACATTGTAATATCTAGTCCAAACAAGAAACAGGTTGGAGAAGATGAGCTGAAAAATGCCCAAAAATTCAATTCCCTTTATGATTCATTTGTTTATTTTAAGACAGAAAGCATGTTTTAAATTCACCTACCAAAATCTTAATATTTGTATTACTTATTTAGACCACAAAACAATGTTTGTTTACTATATACTTTGGAAAACAATTAAGGAAAAAATTAAAATCTTCAACAATATTTCTACCTAGATAATCATAGTTAACCTTTTGATATGTGTGCTCATTATATTTTTCATAAATATATTTATGTAAACTTAAATAAAATTGGAACTATACTATGCACATTGTCATGTAAATTAACCTTCCATTTTATTGTCTTAAACACTTGTCCAAATGATTACTCTTCTAAAAGACGAACTTTAATGGCTGCATAGAACCTCGCCATAACTATACTCTAAATAATTCAATCGATAATTCGTTGTTGGTCATTTAAATTGTTTGCAATTATAGTGATGTTACAATAAGCATCCTTGACATAATTTGGAGAATGTATCAGATTTTTTTTTAGACTGAGCACATAGCAGAATTATTAGATTGAAGGATATAAACATTTTTAAGATATGTAATATATATTGCTAACCTTTGCCCATTAAGGTTGAGCCAATTTGCCTTCCTGCTAACAGTACACAATAACCCTATGCTGACTAGGAAACAAAATGTAAACCCTTAGGTAATGCTACATAACAATTTCTGCTCTGACTACAACCAAATAAGGAGAGAGCAAAAAGAATAAAATAGTAATAAATAAATGAAGAAAGCATAGATTTTCTTAAATTAGTGAGCATACTAAATTGGCATATTTACACATAGGTTCAATAGGTTTCATTCTAATACTTGTTAAACTTTTTCTTTTTCTTTTTCTTTTTTTTTTTTTTTTTTTTTTTACTGTAACCCTTTTAAAAAGTGGTATAGAATAGCCAGGCTTGGTGGCTCATGCCTACAATCCCAGCACTTTGGGAGGCTGAGGCAGGCGGTTCACTTGAGGTCAGGAGTTTGAGATCAGCCTGGCCAACATGGTAAAACCCCATCTCTACTGAAAATACAAAAATCAGCCAGGCATGGTGGTCCCTGCCTGTAATCCCAGCTACTCAGGACTCTGAGGCAGGAGAATCGCTTGAATACAGGAGGTGAGGATTGCAGTGAGCCGAGATCACGCCACTGCACTGCCTTGGTGACAGAGTGAGATTCTGTCTCAAAAAAAAAAAGCAGACAAAATCAAAAATTTTTTTAAAAAGTGGTATAGATAGCTAGAATGGGTCATGGAGTGAGACAGAAGTGGGTTCAAGTCCTGGTTCTCCAATTTGAAACTGTGGATGAATTACTTAAACCCTGTGACATTAAACTCATTCATAAAAGCACACTTCTCAAAATTTGGGGAAAACCTACCTGAGCTGATGGATGAATGCTGCATAGCACCGTGCTTGATTCTTTGCAGGTCAGCACTCCTCGCAATCTTCCATCTACCTTAAATGTGATCTATTTATGTTCTTTTGAAAAATACAATTTTTCAAAATATGCGGAAAAATTGGGAATATGCTGGCAAATTGTTGAAATGAATTCAAAACCCGTCGTGTCTATTCTTCTTTGGTTAGTTTTTGTTCAGCAGGAAAGATTAAGAGATGAGCCATAAATGCTGACAAAAATATTTAGGAAAAATCTTCATTTGGCCAATGTTTTAAAAATTGACATCACCGGTTCAAACTGGGAAAAGGCAAGATCTGCTCAGCAAATACCAACTGTGTTGGCCAAACCCTTGTTCCTCTTCCTCCATTACATCTCTGTGATTACCAAGATTACATTCTTCTCAAAGGATCCATCCTCTAAAAGAGTAATTTTTAGTTTCTTTGTCCTCATTGTTTTTATATGTTTTCTCAGATCTTCTCTGATGATTAATCTTTCCCATAAAGCCCATGCATCCTAATTTCTTGCCTTCTGCTCCATTTTGTGACCTAAATTCCATCAGGCAGTAGGGGTGAGGGGCCAAAAAGCTTATAATGAGATATACTGAAAGATAAAGTGGTAGAGACTTTTCTAATATGCTGATGAATAGCTAACATAATTGACTCAAACATACGAACAAAAGAAAGTCATGAGAACTAAAAATGTGTGGGCAATGAAATATGTCATAAACAGAGGGGATCAACCTAATGAGTCATAGTACCACACTGTCTGAACATTAGAATATGATGGAGAGAAGAAAATAGCTGCATTTCTACTTTTTGCTCCAGAAACTTCATTTTTTCCATTGTGGATAAATTAAGCTTTAACATTTTTTAAATCTTAATACAAAGCATGAACGTATATGTTGACTCATGCCATCTTATCAGCATGTAACGTTCACGCAAAGTTACCCTTGGGAATCAGCATCCCATTCAAGAAAGCTACAAACTGATCAAATGTTCAACTTGGCCACTGAAATGGCACCAACATGAGTGCATTTCAAGGGCTAATACTGAGTTCTTTGTCCTTCAGGTTTACATAAAGTTAAGTGATTGTTGTAAAAGAAATGTATTAGGCTGTCAATATTGATGAAGCTTACCATAGGAAAACAACAAAGAAAAAAATAGGGTAAGAGATTTGTTCTGCATAATTATTAGAAAATAGGTGCCGCTAACATATCATTTTTCCCAATAAAGTCCATTTTCAGTCTATAATATAAGTCAGATCATAACTTGCCAAACCTCAAGGGAGTTTTAAAGGTAAAGATAAAAGACACACCATATCCCTGGGCCCAATATTGTGACTTTGTGATACCAACACACAGAGATAATCTGCAATAAAATCCATTGGTCTCATATTTGAATGTCTATTGTTTGTTTTTCAAATATCAACCATAATTTAGTGCTAGAAGTTATTCAAAGACAACAATTTATACAAATTATGAAAGTCAAGATAATATTCACTAAGAAGGTCATCATCCCAAACATTTAAACTTGAATAGAAAACACAATCTTCTATCTGTGTACAGCAGACACTATTGGTGGCCTAATAGCCATCATCATTTTTTGTGCTAAGAGAACCTTGGTTTTATTCTTATCTAGGAGAAGAAACGTTTTCAGAGAGGGCGAGAACTTCTCTAGACTGATCATTGTTCTAAATTAATCATGATCATTCCAGTTCTTTTAGCCAATGATTATTTGGGAGTGGTCATCTGAGCTAGTTCTAGCCAATGAGATGTAAGAATTAAGCTCTGAGAGCAGGCTTCTGAAAAATGTTTCCTGGCCTCATTTAAAAAAATAAGAAAAAGGTATAAAAAGAGAAACTCCCATTCTGCATTTGGATGCTGCCAAGGGAGAACAAATTGCAAAAGCCAACTTGTAATCACAAGAGAGATGTGAGGACAAAAGTCATCAAGCCAAGTACGGTAGGATGAAAAAGCAAAACCGTAGGGTGATGAAGACATCCTCATAATATTGAATGAATCTTGGAATTTCCCACCTTCAGATTTCTTTAGTGATATAATGCTTTGTTTGTTTGATTCTGTTGTTTAAACTACTTTTAATTAAATATTATGTTACTTTTAGCTGAGGTAATCATAAATATTACAACTGGGTAGATATCATATTCATTTCCAGGAAGGCACAGAGACTTCACACCTACTTAGGCTTTAACTTAATCCCTTTGTCACTGTGCCTTTGTTCATTATGATCTTTCCATCTGGAACACCCTTTCTCTCTTTCTCCACTGAAATTATTGGCCGAGTATTTTTTCTTCTGTAATGCTGTTCTATACTTCCCTGGTAGAATGAGTTGCTGCATTATATGTGTTCCTGTATAATTTAGCCACTATCATTATTATTGCTCTTATCACAATTAAGTAAACATTGCACATGCATTCTGTGCCAGACATTGTGCTAAATGCCTTACGTGCTTTACATGAATGATGTCTTCTGGTAGATTGTATTATTTGTTCATAAATATTTATTCTTTTCTCACCTGTGCCAAGCTCCTAGGAAGATGTGTATTCTTCCCTGTCCATTGATTTTTGGGCTTGGCAGTGTGCCTTGATCTGCCCAATGAAATCCGAGTAGACCAGATGCACCTTCTGTCTGACAGAAACTTTAAACACCCTTATATAGTCTGGCTCCGTCTCTCTTAATCCTCTCTTCACCATGGCAACAGGATGCCCCAACATGCTCCTTTAACATGGCTTCCAGAACGAGCAGACACATGGAACCCAGCAGAGCCTAATCAAGTTGAACAAAACTGCAGATAATCTTCAACCTTTGTGTGATAAGTGCAAGAAACACAAACTGGCTTTAGTAAGCCACTGAGATAATGGGCATAAACTAATACAATGTGATATAATATAAATCTCATAACTATATGTAACATTTATTATTATCATCCCATTTAACAGTGGAGAAAACCAATCATAGTTACAGGACTTAGACTTTCTTCCCAATAATAAGATGGATATCCGTTTCTCTCCCACTACCCATAACTCCTTAAGGATAAGGACTACGTGTTTTTTAGCTTTATTTTCCCAACACATAGAACATTGTATGCTTGATGAATTATGTTGTTGGAAAGAATAGTTCCCTAGAGCACATTTATATTATTAGCACACCTTCATGACCTATATTTTACATACCCTGATACCAATAGTTTGGATAATTCACTTTTTCCTCCCCAATGTCCTTTCATTTTAAATGCAAAATGAATCCCTTGTATAATACTTTGTAAGCATAAATTAAATAATATATAGTGTAGTCCTATGTCTTAACTTCATGGAGTACATGCCAGAAAAAAAATCTTAAAAATTCATCTTGACAAAAAGCTAGGTATTTTTAATAAAATATCTTTTTAGTCAATTGTTAGCCTACTTGTTACACAGGTTTGTGAGCAATTGAACAAAATAAGATACTTTGTGAATTGCTTTTAAATATTAATGATATCTTTAATTCAGTAAAATCTGGTTTGAAAAGATGCCTGATAGTTTGGAAGTTGAATTCACAAAGTTTAATGATTAATTAGATATAGATGGGGAAGAGGGAATTAAAAATGTATACAGGATGTATTAGTTATGGTTTTCCAGAGAAACAAAAGAACTAAGAGAGAGAGAGAGATTATAAGACATTGGCTTATATAATTGTGATGGCTGAAAAGTCACAATGTCTGTAGTTGGCAAGCTAGAGACCCAGGAGAGCTGATGTATAGTTCTGGTCCAAATCCAAAGGCCTGAGAACCAGGGGAGCAGATGGTGCAAGTTTCAGTTTGAAAACCAGCAGGCTCAAGACCCAAGAAGAGCCAAAGTTTCAGTGTAAGTCCAAAGGCCGGAGAAGAGCAATGTCCCAGCTGAAGCAGTCAGACAGAAGACATTTCCTCTTACTTGGTCTTTTTATTATATTCAGGTCTTCAAATGATTAGATGAGGGTCATCTACATTATAGAGGGCAATCTGTTTTATTTAATGTCAATTCAAATGTTAATCTTATGCAGATGCACCATCATAGACACACCCAGAATAATGTTTGACAAATGTCTGGGCCCCCATGGCCCAGTCAGGCTGACCCATGAAATTGACCTTCACAGAGAGTTCTTTCATTTAACAAATATGCACTCAATGTGTTGAATCACTACTCTATGTTTTAAATAAATCTTTCTTTCAACATCCCTGAAGAAATTAAATTTTCATCCTCATCAAAAAAACTTTAAATTAAAGTAATCTTAGAAATTATACTTTCCTACTGCATCATTTATACAAATGAGAAAAATAAGGCTCTAAGCAACATACTTTAATTGGTAAAAGTAGAGGTAAGACTAGAGCCAAGGTCAAGAACAAATGTTCCTTCTATTATACTGCACAGTTCCACATCTCCTTCTAAGTATTTGATTTTAAATCCCAGTCCCAGAAGGAAGAAGAAATTAATAGATACACATACATACATAAGCCTTGTGGGGTGTTTATCTTGTTACAATTACATATACATAAGCGCTTCTGAACATAGGGAGAGATAAAAGCTTTATTATAGCTTCCAAGCAATAGTAAAACACATTTTAGACATAAAAGACAAGATTCCTATAGATAAAAATGCATCCTTTCCAGTTTTTCATCCATTAGAGAGAAATATAATAAAACATCCAATTTCTTTTTTTGAATGAACCATTTCAGAAGTTTAATTTTTCTTGCTAAAATCCAAGTAACTCAATGATGTTCATCTAAAAATGAGGGCAAAAGGTATTAAATTCATCAGCATATAAATGACTTTTCTAGGATGTGAAGATGGATTACAGCAAAAGACGTTCACAGTTTCAAATGTTATTACTTACCAAGGAAAATAAATAAAGTTAAGTTTTTCCTACTATCATTATGGACTATTTCACTGAACTGTTCTTGATATTATCATATTCTGTTTCATAATATTCCCCCAGAGAAACTAAATATAAAATAATATACATAA